CTCCGTCCGTGACCTGCATAGAAACAACACTGATATTTATTGCGTGGTCTGATCCAATATGTAGCCGCAGCATTTCAGATTTACTGTTTGATAAAAAAGTGATTTCGGATCATTCCATGTTCATAAAAAAATTATACTAATGTTCTTACTAAACATTCACATTATGGCTGTAAAAACCCTTGGTTGAACTTGTGCTTCTTTAATTCTATATAATATTGAATATCGAAAAAAATGTCTAAAAGTTTTCCCCGGTCAATACAAATGTCTTTCAAAAGCACCTAGTTCCACAAAAATGTACCGGTAACACAAAATAGCGATGCCAAGCTCAAATTACGCTTTAGGAAAGAAAGGATGACGAAATTGTCAAAACCACTCACAGAAAGTCAACACGTCAAAGAAATTCAAGTCTCGGCAAACTCATTAGTCTGCTCAGCGTCACGGCTATTTCTTTGTTCTCTGTACAAAGTATCTGTGGGAAAAACGTAGTTTTCTTTTGCTTTGCGGTGTGAATTCCAGGTTAAAACACAATTTTGAGCTTTATTTTCAAAATAGTCCAACAAATTCAAAAAAAAAAATTCTTAGTATTTAGATAACTGAAGATACAAAAGAAAGATTCGATATTTTAGTATATAAGGTTTTTGTCGATCAGGCATGAAGAAACCAAAAGGGTTCGACACAGTAAGTGACCCCTCCCATTATATCTTATCTACATTGGCAGCGTAGACTGCCTAGTTGTCGAAATATATTCTTATTATAACATAGCACGTTCCTGTACTTATTTGTATGTGTTTTAAAAGTATTCAAATACAAAACTTTTTCTTCAGCAAACCTATTCTTTTATTGAGTCTATATTATTGTGTGCTGAATAGTTATCATGTAAACCCCCTTTTATCATTATATTTTCTACTATACCTATTTGACACATAAGGACGATTGCCTACCCTGTGTTTCCTCTGAACGGAACTATTTATCAAATAATGGGTTGTAATTAAGCATGTTCATCCATATGTTAGCTTAATAGTTTGTTAACAGATTTTTCATGTAGATTAGGTAACAGTTTTTTTGAAAATATCTAAGTTTGAAAATAAATTATTCTATTTTCATAGTTTTTCATACAAAGGTTGAATGAAACAGGAAAGACAATTTCCTTCAGACTGATGAATAAGTTTTAGGCTGATCCAGACAGAATCGCCCAGCTCCGAGTTTAAGGTTTATCCCCTCTTAACTGCAAGACCAAACATCTTCAAACTAAGTAACCCTTTTTAATGTGAAAAGTTCTGTTCAGGCACGCAAATATTTATATTGAGAAAATATTTCGCTGACTTTTTTTCGCAAGTGGTGGTATTCTGTGGCCTCTTTGCCACTGGCTACATTAAATGATGCTGCAACATAACCTAAACAAGAATTAAGATTGCAAAACGTTGAAAGAAGGAATATTATTATAGTAGTTTACGCAATGATAGCGTAAATATAGTGTTAACGACACGAGTAGAAAATTTAAGGCCTTTGCGAGTGCCTTTTTATCTTCTCTTCTACTGGTGTCATTAAGACTGTTTACGCGAGTTGCGTACACTACTTTACCTACGACAGCTTTTCAATTACTAACAATCACTACTCATAACTTCTAAGAGAGGTTATGTTTTCGTTTGTAACATCTCAGAGCCAGTGAGAGTGATGCAACGAACCATTTGAATCGTGAAAAAGTAAAACCCTTTCGTTAAGTTTAATGTCTGAAAAGTCAATATATTTTGAACGAGCGCTTTATGAAATGGCTCAGCGACAGAGTCCGTTGTTAATGGAAGAATAACAGCAGCCATAGAATACGGTCCAAGTCCATTAGTCCTGAGATACTAATGCACCTTGTACAAGGACATAACTGTATGTCCTTTGATACAAGATGTATTACCTAGTTCATTACTCAAAGTAATAATAACCACTATAAACCTGTTACCTTTCATCATTACGAAATCACCTATTCATTTCCTCGCTCCTTTTTCTATTATTTTAAACACTGATTAATAATCATTAACGTGAAGTATCCAGAGTATATTGAAGACTATGGTAACAATTCAGGTTATTGAAACATTGTTATTATTTATTTATGTTATTATTGTTATTATTTGTTATAATTTAAATTTGAACTATCTTAGCTTTTTACTTTTTATTGGTTGATTGATTTACACACACTCTGCATAAAATCTGCTATTCTAGGAAGCGATTAACTGTTAGTGAAGAAACTAAGTAAGGAAGATTAAGTAGATTAAGGGGATTAAGTAAGGAAGAAACTTATGAATGCAAGACAGCCCCTTATGGTCGTTTTTGGCAGTCAGGTAGTGGATTATTTTATATTATAATATGGTTTAGTAATTCGTTAATTAAGGAAACTATTAGGTTTTACAGTGTTAATGAACCATTATGGGAGCATTTCTGGAATTAGGGCAAGTAATTCAAAAATATATGTTTTGGAATTCATGTTATAAAATATGGTAATTCATACATACACCTAATTATCGAAAGCCATGTGATCCCGAATTTTACTTTATAAAACCTAAGACGTAGCGAAGCACTCTGATAAGAAATTTCCAAGATTCAACTATTTTAGCTATGGAGTCAATATAAATTAGGGGTTCGAGCTAGGATCCTTTGTATTTAAAGACGAGATTCCAACTCCACCACCACCAATAGGGTTTCACCTCTTGACTTAGTTGTTCAGATTGCAAGTACGCTTTTCTAGTACAAATATTTCCCTCATAAACGTCCTCTGTATTTTAGAGCATGCCCTACTTAACACAATTTCGTTGTAATTTTAACAGTCATGTGACTCGTACCAATTTTAAAATACCCCCGCTGTAGCAAACCTGCCAACTAAGCGATTATCTATTTGTCTGAATTGATTTTCAATTAAATTTGTTTTAAGTAACATTAGGGTAATTGAGTACATATGTTTGCTGCTACGAGGAAACTAATAAAGTGTATTTTTTAGTATTAATAGCTCAGAATGAAATAAATAAATTTGCCAAGTTTGATCAAAATATATCCATAAACAAGCAAACAACAACATTTTACAATATAAGAATAACATTAAGAATGGCATGGAAATTTTAAATTAATTTTTTTTTTGAATTTTCTCCGTTAATAACCGTACAAAAACACTTTGATGAACTAAACTATTTGTTTTTTTAAGCTCTTTAAAAAGGTCCAGAGATAAATTGGGAATTTTTTTGTTTTGAGGGTCAAAATGAGAAAAAACATTTTTACCCCATAAAACCCCCCATTAAACCCCGTTCCCATGGTCCGATCATGCTGGTTCACGAACTCATTCAAGTTTATCCCACCTTATTACTTTAAACCAAATTTCATCACCGTGCCACCTACGGTAATAGCTACCCCTATAGGGAAATTTGCTAAAATGATATCAACAAGTCGATGACAATTTAAGCCTTGAGTTTTGAATTTTCTACTTTATAATAACTTAAAATCAATTAACTACTTGTGTGTTAACGACACAACAATAAATTCATCTGTAACATAATTTCCATTTATAGAAACATCTTGTTGCTATTTGTGACAATGGCAGACTCAATGTTTAGTTCATGAGTGAATGAGTTATGCAACAGTCAAAGGAAGCCATGCATCTTGTCGATCGATGTCTACTATCGGACATTGTAAGTTTCAAACCATGTCTCCTTGTGACAACAAAGCAGTACACGTGACCTTATACATTACTTTACTGCCTTTGTTGAACTTTTAACTTTATAACTAGGTAATGATGTCATTTAACATTTATTTTAAAAAGAAGAAAATAGGTTTTCGGCTTGGGGGAAAAAATTAAGCTGTTTAAATGTTTGTTTTGGTAAATATATCTACAGAACACATTTTAAATGTTGATACCAGTTAATTATTATAGGGGATTTTTGAAACGTAAATGCTACAATAAATATTGTTATCTTTTGTTATTCAATACTTCATAAGCCAAACTATGTACAGTTTACATGCCAATGTCTACAATTTGACAAGGTGTATTCTTGGGACTTTTTACTACTTTTGTAAATTAAACAAAAATAACTTGTTCTATCACCATTATATTTTCTCACTGATGCGTAACTGTAAATTCCACTTAACTTGCAGAGTCAAGCTACCATACATAACAGCAGAATGATTTAGTGATCCAATTATTAGCTGAGAACAATATTGAGACGAGAATGCTGAACCGAGCTGACATTCTTGCTATTGTTCTGCTACATTCAAGTAAAGCCTATTGAAAACCTTATCCCTCTACTGTCGTTGCTACGCCATTGAGTGTTGTGCACTTTTATGATGCAGTTTCCATAGCTATAATTGTCGAGTAATTAATTTACTTGGATAACATAGTGTTCAGTAAACGTTTAGTAAATCATTTAGGGTATGAATTTAATTTACACGATTGGTTGCTGTGATTTAGTTTTACGAAAGACCTAGAAAGTTTGTAAACATTGACAAATACCTGTATAAATCAAACAAAGCCCTGCAGACAACGCGAATTTTCCCAATTGCCATTTCAATTTAATCCAAGATTTTCGTGACAAATAAATGTTTGATATACGCTTAGTGTTATTTTTTAATGAATACAAAAAAAGTATAATGAACTTTAATTTTTAATTTTTTTAAGTCGGTTGTAAAAATGAATTACCAAGCACGGGCGAATAAAAACCAGCCTAACTCACATTGGCTCTACATAGATAAATCTAGTTATGTTACAATAATTGTATAGTTATGTTTAATAATCCAAACTAGAGAAAGTTTCTTAGGGAAAATATGTAACTTCAATCCATTTACAGAATTCATGAGCGGTTTTTATATTTATTTTCCTCTTGAGTCTTAAACCACACAGGAATTAATGATAATGCAATTTGTTAACACGAAGTTTCCAATCATTTTTAAATGTGTATTTTAATGTAATAATGATTTTTATGGTGTTTTTGTATAATTTTTGAAACTAATGACGATTTCAATTGTTTCAGGTGTGCTGGATATCTTGAGACTGAGAAGTGATACGTAAGCTTCACTAACAAGAACTAACAAGACCTTCCTTGTCACTCTATTACTAACAATGTGCAATGGATTAACCACTTACGCGTGATGCTTTGCGTCCTTTTTCTAAATTCACAACGAAAATGTCCACAAACATACATCCCAATGTTGCCAAGGAATTCTGTTATACAATAATACTCGGATGTGGTCGTTTTGTAAAAATAGGTCCAATAAAGACGGATAGACTTGATAAAGCAATGACGTGACAAACGTTTCCAAGTTAGATGTTTTAGTTTCAAGAGAAAGAGATTCAGACTGCTGTAGGAAATCCCGGCCAACTTTTATTGTTTGCGTGATGGAGTACAGAAACAGAAATGGAAACATCCAAAACGGCGGGAAAGGTAACTTGACGTCGTAGTCTTTAAAATAAATATGTTGTTTTATACCACACTATATTCAGTTTTAGTTTATTTTCATTACATAATGTTTGTTTATTCTTTCTATTTACTTAATTAATTACTATCTAGTTTCTGTTATGATAATCAGCTTATTGACATTTCATTTATAAGTATTATAATTTTGGAACAAATATGCTCAAAACTGTTGATATGCACGATTTTTGTTAGGTAAGGACAAAAGTTTTTCAAATTAATGACCACTTAAAAAATGAATAGATAAATAACTGTGCTATTAACAAAATAATTTAACACATCACCTAATTACATTTTAAAATACAATCATAAATCGATTATAAACTTAATCCAATGCAAAATCATATTCTTTTGCCATGGTGTGAGTGTTAAATACAATAGATAGCAAAAATCTAAGAGTTGTTTTTACTGATGTTAAATCTTTTGCTTGTTAAAATGTATGTTAAAAAATCTTACGTTTTAATAACTAACAGTTAGGACTTTTTTCAAATAAACATATCCAAACGAAACATTTAACATTTTATAAATCCAAGAAAGTGTGGTATAAAACAGCTGTTTGATCAGATCACAACATGCTGGCCGCCTACGGCGTGTACTCTTCCGCTGGTGACGGTGAGGACGGGGGTTTCGCGTCCCCAAGCCACACCCCCCACTACAACCACTACTCGGACCCTGGTCACGTGGTGGTCGTGACTACCCAGAGGGACGGTTCCACCACGAACAGCATCATGAGGGGTGGCACCACCGGGGTGGCGGGGGGAGCGTGTAGTTGGTGTTGGTGTAAGTCTACCACGACACAGACAGTCGAGTCCCCCTGGTACAAACCAGCTGTGCTACTAATAGTGCTGGCTCTACTGCTGATAGTGTTCCTTACCATCTCTATCATACTCGTGTATTATAACCGTAAGTATTTGGATGTGTTGCATGTTGCTTGTTTTTAAACTTACGCAGTTTGGCCATGCATGGAAATACTATTTTTCCTACAGTTATCTCACACAGGGGGCTTCCTTGCACTATAGCACGCAAAGTAGCTAATTGCTGCATTTACTTACTTTTTCGCACTCATTTCTTTTTCATACACTAATTCTTTCCTCACTCCAGTATTCCAACCAATCAACACAACACAGTGTGTTTTATTATGCACGTCATACGTGTACGCTTTAAAATAAGTTTTCAACACTTAAAAGATACTGCGACAACAATCAGGTAGTGCAGCATTTCCCATTTCGTTTAACGCTTTGAAACGTGTTGTATAGTGTATGATAGACCGATCATTTATATGCTTTATAGTACTGTAGGAAAAATATAATGTATAACGCGAGTGAAAAGTGCCACTTCGCACACTAGTTACACAAATAAATATTCTGTGTCATTTTCCTAACCCTAGTTTGTAAAACTAGTTTGTTGAATACACTAGACACGTAGATAATTTCAACTTTATATTTTACTGAGTCATGAGAAAGCAATCCTAGTTATTTGTCAGTAAACTAAGCTTCTTTAAACAAACTATGAAACGGTAACTAGTGTACAATAGATACCCAGTGTTATGGTTATAATTAAATATTCTATGTTTATGAATGTAGAAATCACCTTTGTTGGTATTGCGAGATACATTGTTTAGTAAAGTTGTATCATTTGTAGCAGATCTGAATATAAAACTTCGTAGTTTACAATCAACTTTTAAACAAGGAAATCCTATGTTTTATTTTAACTTCCTGAAATACTTGAAAATGTTTTTTACATAAACAATTATAGTAAGTATAAGATTTTAGTAAAAATAATTAAATTTTTTTAAATTAAAGACAAACATAAAAGATTTTCGACAATAATTTCAAAGATTTTAAATTGTCATTTTCATTTACTTTATACAGATTTTCTTTTTCTTTACATTTTAGTATCCCGTTCTTCTTGTTAAATAACATTTTATTTTAACACTCTAACCTAACTTATGTAGTTTCAAAAACAACATTGAGAAGTTTGTGTTAAGTCAACAGTTTATTTTACAAACTTTCTTCAAACAAACAAAGCAAAAATGATAGAAAACGAGAAATACAGAACTCCCAAGTGAAAGCAAAAGATCCATTTCAATATCCAAACGAAACTTTGAAGTTTATGAATGTTTAATACAAATATTGCCAGTGTACAATTCCCCTTTCAGACAGGTTCGGGCTTTCTTTCGTTTGCAGAACAACTGCTTTGCCAACAATAGCCGTTTTATTAACCCACTACAATAGCGACGGAGAGCAGAAAGAATGTTTACACAACTATGTGGCCAACTTTCATCCCTCCGTGGTTTTCCTTTTCAATATTACATTCTGTAATTGCAGTTCGCTCTCTCCTGCTTTTCTAAAATTCATTTTAAGTTTTATCAATAACGTTTTTAAGTAATGAGCAAAACACTATTCAGGATTTTTTTTATAAAAAGTGCAGTACATTGTAAAATTTAAAATAAATAAATCAACTAAATAGTGACATTATTAACCATCATTGTGATTATTAGTATAATTATATCCGTACCATAGGGTTATTTGAAATATTAAAACGTAGATATAATTAACGGTTGTCTCGTTTCTTAAACAATTATTTGGAATAAGTGAATTCAAATTCCGTAGAATGAATTAGTAAAAACTGTATATGCTATTTTTGTAATTCCAAATAAACATTACAGAGGCCACAGCAAATGTTTGTATATAAAATTATTTTATTTATGATTTCACTTAATTTATACCATAAAAAATTATTAATATAAATACCTTGTCTTTTTCACGTAAAACTGTGTGTTTATACTTTAAATGAAGGTCCAAACGAAGGTTAAATTTGCCCCTTTCAACCTCAATTGTATTGATGGATAAAGCAAATCATAATTGGAGTAACGCTAAGAAACTTGACATCACTTACAAAATACTGTCACCAATATTTTGGTAGGTTACAAATTTAAGTCTAGAGCTCATTAAAAAATATAACACAACACATCCTTACTCCTAAAATATTTGAGCATCTAGAAAAACATGTATACTAATTCAAATAAAAAATGTAAAACCCCGTCGAAGTATCTAACTGCTTTAAATATTTCTTTTATAAATAAATTATTAGTATCAATATATTATTAATTTTTACCTAATCATGATTTCCTTTTATACTTGTATATTTTTGTAACCATTATGCAAAAATAAGTTCAATATTTACAATTCTATTACTTTTAAATGGTGTACTCTTTATGCAGTTTTCTTTGTTCTGAGGCCACCAACAACTAGATAAATGACGTATCCATGGAACATATAACAAAATTTAAAAGATTCAACATCCTTCCTATTTTAGAGAGACCTATAGATTTAGTAAAAATAAACGCAAACTAGTCCAAAGGAAAACTATTACGTTCCACACAACAACTCGCTTCAGCCCAATTACCATAAACAATCAAAGCAGATAAACAGAACGAACGTGTTCGCGATATAACAGAATTAAATGCTCCTCCCATAAAGCACAATTGCAAGTAATCTAGGCAAACGCGTACTAAAGTGCGGAGCAGATAGTGCCAGTGTATCACTCCGCCGAGAGTAGTTAACCGTGCTCTAAATTAACTAGAGTTACGGTCTGGAAAACACACTGCTTTAGTTAATGTCGCCGGTTATAATGCAGGCATGAGGCTGCGTTAGATTTATCTCGGGCTGTTCTTGAAGGCGACTTTCTTAAGTGGTCGTTCCAAACATTGGTCAGAGTCTTTCCCGCCGTTATTGCCGCCTCTTGAATCCCCTTTACTGACTTGGCGGTTTAAAAGAAGACGTTTATTGTGAGTCTTTCCGACACTCGGTTCTTGCATCATTAAACAAGCCATTAGTCAAAGTAATTCCGGAGTTTTACAGTGCAAGAACTCGATGGGTGTAATAATAACTATTTAGCAAGTACGACTGTTTGTGGTTTATTGTTAAAACCTTTAAATGGCGAATAAAGCTTTCTCGAATACGATACAATAATCATAAACAAAATTCAAGAGTTAGTTAAAATAATGTTTAAGAAAAGGTTGACTTTGGAATATAGTAATAACGCAAAGGTTAGGTTCTCCTTACAAAATTCGCTAAAGTATCAATGCACTTGTACGGTTGGTTTTGGTGACCGGGATCGTAATTAAAATAAAATTAGCGTAACACTTTAAAATAAAAACTATATAGATGTGTCATATTTTATACATTGCTTTTGCATGTGAGCATGTTATATGTGATGTGTATGCTTTTAATGTGTGATATATATATGTGCAGTAAATATATATTTTTTCCTTATTCATGGGTAATATACTGTATATTATTATATATTAGTTTTTATCAATTACTTTTTATGTTTCATAAGGAAACCAAAATTATTTATGCATTGGAATACGTCATTTTTCTTGAAATTATCTCCCATTGTATAAGCATCTCCTCCTTTCAAGCATGACCACAATTATTTTGAATAACTGCAACAGAAATGTTTAATACAAATTAAAAATATTGATAGTTTTAAATATACTTGATCCATCAACTCAATTTTAACCCAGTAATTTTGTTGAATGAGGCTTGAAACCTTGTGTTAACACATCTCAAAGCTAACTATTATCAAACAACCTAATACTCTATAGAACGCCATTTAGCAATACACAATTAGTATTCCTCTGTCAGTAGTATCTGAAGCAGTGTAACTGGTTATTATTGCCGCAATGTAGGTTCCAAAGGAGCTCACTAATGATGCACTTGTTGCAGATGTCGGCTTCAAGGCGATACCACAACCCCTTGAAGGTAAGACCCTTCTCTCTCACACATTCTCACCCTCTCTCCTTTTCTGCATCTATTTTAAGGTTACCTCTTCTTTATCATGTTTCAAAGTTGATAAAAAACTTTGAGTATGATGTATTTTAGTGTTAAAGTGGCATTAAATTTATTATTGATATGTTTAACGGCATAATTTAGTTTTAAATGCATATTTTGTGCAAATAGTAGTGTGGATTTTAAAATAAATCTTCCAGAAATGAGAAATACCCCATTTTTGATATATTGATTATGGCCTTTAAGTTTAATGTACTTTTTGCAAAACAATAACGAAATGGGTGCTTAAATATTTTATTCATAAATTGAAAATATTTCTTCATTTCCTTGTTGACATTTGTTTTCTTAACATTTTAAAGCAGCTTGTTGCGTTTTAACAGTTCAAAACAACACAACTCAGCATTAAATAAACTATAAGATTTACGGAAGCAATACTAAATGTAATATTTTCTAAACAAAACTGTAAAAGTAGTTTGGATAGGCACATGTACTTCGCAGATAAATCAAAATATTCATTTACGATTTGAAGGAAGAACAACTTCCACACTTCATTCGCTGGAGTGTTTTTATAGGGGTAGTAAATCTGAAACTTTTCTCAATTTGCAATTTTTTACACCTCACGACAGAAAGGATTGCTGTACAAAGTTGAACAGTTGGTGTTTGCAACTCCACTTTACTCCATTCGTCTTTGTTGCTAAGTTTCTTTAATCGTTCCTGTTTTGCAGAAGACAGCTGTTTCTTGTTTGGTTACCTTAATGGATCACCGCTTACCAAATGTCTACACTTATATTTTTTTTTGATTTAAATTGAACTAATATTATTGTTCCAAAAATTAGTTAAATGGTTCAAATGGTCCTTAACCAAATCATCATTATATAAGATAAAACTTAACTCTGCTAAAATAAAAATCATTTGCTTTTGCTTTTTTGCTTTTTAAAATATTTTATACTTTTACTTTAGTAGTTGAACCAAAAGACTTGGGCAAAATGAATGTTAGAGTTTATATACAAAAATATATCTTGTATTTTATTTTTTTAGTGAAATATAATTTTTCAAATACACCAGTCATTGCTTTGTGCACAGGTTCATCCTGATTAAGATTTTGATTTATATTTAATTAAAAGGTATGTACCATTACTCTCAATATCCTAAAATTTATTTATTTGGGGTTTTTCTACTCTGATAACATTTAAAATCAATACATTAAGCTGTATACAATTTATTTTTCAATAAAAAAAAATACAAGTTGCTTATAGTTCATTTGATCTTTTATATTCCTTTTTCAAGACTGCTCCAAATATTTTATTGACTGTAATTTTTTTAGTAATGTTATGTTTTATATACCTTTTAAGTTTTAAGCTCAGCAGGTGTCTTTCATTGTGTTTCTTCTGCTTAGTTAACATAAGCTCAAATATTATATCAGTCATCATTAAATATAATATAAGTACATTATCTGTGGCCGCACAAAAAAGAGATATGAGAGAGGTAAGAGAAATTACTTGCCCCTGAGGTACTCTTAATCTAATATACGGTTTTGGGATTTTAAGTCTGGTTTAAGATTTATTTTTAGTGAGACAACAATATTTTGACATACTGAATCTAGCCAGAGAGATATAGTTGAAACCAATATAATAGCGCTTTCAGACCAATTTTTTAATTATTTAATTAAAAATAATAGATTTTTTAATTGTTTGTTTTATTCTGTAACTTGATTTTAATATTTCCGTGAATATGCAAATGCAATATCGAAGGCAATTATTTTCTTAGTATTTTTTTATTTGCCATAGAGTTCAATCAATATTTACTGTAGGTCAGTCTCACCTACACTGTTAGGATGTCTATAGTGTGTAGTCCGATGTTTCTAGTGAAAAAAATCAACCTAAACAGTGTTTTAACTCGCAAAAGAATTGTAAACAAAAAACCTTATTATAAATAGGTTTTGCAATATAATTCCAAAATGAAAATGCAAATTCAAAACCCTTAAAGAAGTCAAGACTCTTTGTAACATTTTCATTTTGTTAAGAGCTTGTTAACTATTAATTAGTTGCGTATTCCATATTACATTAAGTTGTGTGAAACTTAGTATTCACGTAGTTGGTAATTTATTATGCTTTAAGTGTTGGATATTAAATTCCTTCGTAGTGCTCAAGATATTTTGACATATTCTAGTAATTGTTATGATCATTATATTCAAATAATGTCTGGTGCCGGACTGACAGAGCCTCTCTAATTGCAAACACCATTAGCAGAGCGTGACTTCAAACCGGACTTCCATTTTAAATCTTTTATATTTCAGTCATTTTCGTTGCACCCTGCATAGTTGATTCTCATTACCCGTTTTTCATTTTACCAAAATTACCCATTCAATATATTTTGTGTGTCTTGAGAGAATTTAGTATCTGTATTTAATTTCTGAAATACGTCAAATGATTATAAAATGTTACTTCTTTGGATCAAACTACCAACCTTTACAACATAATAGTGTAGTTTTTCTTATTTATTCACACAGTGTTTGCTACTTATTATTACGGAAATCAGGGTGTAGCAGTTTTAATAATGAATTGGTGTTAAAAATTAAGTTTTTAAGACGCATTTTATGTTTATAGAACGATACAAACAAAACAGCTTAGAAAATAACTTTTAAGGTGTCATTTATAGTGTTTTATAATCAATAATTTCTCATGAAAAAAGTTAAAAAAGGTTTATTGAAATGAAGTAGTAATTTTTTACGAAACACAAATAGCTTATAATTAATTTTATCTTCTATGTTCCTTTTTCTAGACTGTTCCAAATATTTTATTGACTTTCTGTAAATACATCGACAGTTAGGGTTATTATAACGACCGACGTTTTGAAGGGTATTATTTTGTAGAGTTTAGCAATTCAGATTTTGTTGGATATACGACAGGTGGTTTGGTACCAGGTGCAGTTGGCTGGCTGAATTAAAATTAACTGTTTGCATTTAAATTCGGTTTCGTCAATACCTTCGATTCATTTGGAGTGTTTATTTTTATTATTTTTCTATTTTAAATTAAAATTATCTTTTAAAGTTTTTTTCTTTAGTTGTTATGTTATAATTTTGTACGAGAAATGTATTATATTAAATTATTATAACGAATTTTTAATCAAACGATGAAACGTACAACTTCAATGTGTAAGAAAATCGTTTGTAAAGTATATTGATTCTTTCCATTCTAATTTTAAATCTAAAAATATAATTTTTAAGATTTAATGATAAAATCCTATAAAGAATATCCGTTAGGAAAGATAGATTAAAAATTCAACCTATAAGTCTTTTTACTCCTTAATATAATAACCTTTTATTAAACTAAATAGAATCTATGATGCATATGGATTAAAATGCTTAAAAAGTAAATACACAGTAATCTAATGCATATCTTTAGGTATAGTTACACAGAGTTTATCATCAAATATCAAGAAATCCACGCAACTTAGTAGATCCATCATATTTCTAAAGTTGGCCTCTGTTTCTAAGTTTCTAGAGACGTCATTGTTCTTGAGCTGGATTGTTCTTACACGTTTCGATTACATTCTAGCTTACTTTGTTCGACAAGTTTTGAATTTATGATTTGTAGGTACTTTCCTGTTAAAGGGAACATTCATTATTATCGATGGTTTTTTCTCGATATATCGATATTAACAAATTGAAACATATCAGCTGTCAACTACGATAAATATTGTTCAGTATCAACAAACAATAATAAAATGAAACTGTTCTAAAAAAATAACATAACATAACTAACCAAACTTGCTGTAACATTTAAAAATTCCGTGTAACTTACCTTTTCTGTTATCAAACGGTTAGCTTGGAACAGTTTTATTTCTTAATCCATATAATAGACTGTTTTAGCCTAAAGAAGATCAGTAGTTAGTTGTTGTAAATTTTTTATGGATCGGAAAACAAAAATATCGATATATCGAAAAAATCTTCGATAATAATGAATGTTACCTTTAACAGGAAAGTACCGATTTGGTAGAGGAAATATATAGTCTGTAGAGCAAAAATTAGCATTTAGAAATAGGGTAATAAATTAAATGGGTTGTTTTAACTTTACTTACTGAACATGATACAATTTTAGGTTTACTTAAAAATAACATTAATATAACATAAATTTCAAAATGCCCTACGTAAATTAGCCTTTTCGCTATCGTTGTCTACATTACTTAAAGCGTTTCAACATGCATTTTTAAGAGCTCAAACACAATTACAACATTACAGGAGAGTAAATATCAAATTATAAATAAATGGTTTTGATTGACATTGTTTAATGTGGGGATTTCTTTGGAAATGGTTCATTACGTTTTAGACAAAGTATACTAAGCTGCTGTAACTTACTTAGGCCTAGTACCCAAAGATGTATATTTTTAATTTATAAATTTTCCAAGTAATCATGCTATCTATCTTCATTATACCATCTCCGTATTTACTTAGTAAGACTATAATTTCAAAAATTTACAAAAGTATATTACGTATAACATTATTTATTTTACTGTCATTTATCTTAAACGTGAGTTAGTATTCATTAGGCATATTATAACAAACATAATTTTGAATGGAGAAAAATGAAATGAAACGTAATCTAACGATTATTTAGGTTTCAAATATGACACAAATATTATTGAAAGGGCGATTCTGTTGGTAGTGGCGGAAAAAAATAATTTATAAAAAATGTTTGTCTTAATTCTTCACAACTTTGCAATGCAGATTTGTAAGCATGTCAACAACAGTTGGTGGTGCCATCTGTGCTCTGTCGGCGCAATATTTAGATGTTAATCTGGTTTTGACGCTTCTCTTCGTATATTAAGTCAGAGTGGGATATTGATATCTACTACACCCTAGGCGTACAGGAATTCTGAAGTCGATTGAAAATTATATGATCATGAATAAATATGTAGCATTAATAAATGCAGTTAAGTGAAATGTAACAAGGGTTCTGTAATCAATTAAAATT